GAGGAGACCGCCGTCGAGAAGACTGCCCCCGCGAGCCTCGTGAACAACGCGAACCGCGCGGCCCAGCCGGCAGGTTCACAGAGTACACGGCCTTAGTCGCTTCACACGAGCGCATACTGGCCGAATGCGCCAAAACCGAATTCGTGCAGGGAGGTGTCCGTTTTCCGCGACCAACACCCCCGAAACCCAACGTGGACAAATCGAAATACTGCCGATTCCACAGGAGCCACGGGCACGTGACAGAAGACTGCATCCATCTCAAAGACGCGATCGAAATTTTGATCAAAGACGGTCACCTGAAGAGATACACCCGAGGAGGCGAACCACCAAGGCAAGAGGCCCCAGAAGCCAAGAAAGTCGAGGAACTCCCCTCTCCAAAGGACAACAACAGGCTCCAGGTCGCGCTGTGTGTCAGCCGCCCCGAGGATTGGTTCGCGGGTAGAGAATTTGGTCTCCCCGAAGGACCCGACCTAATCGACGAGCCAATCCGACCAACCAGCCGGTGGGAGTACTTCCCCAAAGCCATGGTCATCTCTGATGGAGCCGCGAGGAGTCTGTCCATAGGATCCGTGAAGAGAAAATTCGACGAACTCATCGCGAACAACTCCGGAAAAATGAGCACGCTCGAGAAATTCCGAGGCCGCTCCAACCCGATCACATTTTACCTCGAGGAACTCCCTGGGGGATCCCCCAACTCCAACATACCCCTGCTCATACGTGCACGGATGGCGAACTTCGACGTCAGACGCCTCCTCGTCGACGGCGGAAGCTCGGTTGACATCATGTACTCACACCTGTTCACAACTCTCCAGCTCGACGAATCCAACCTTTCCCCCTACGTAGGCTCCGACCTTCAAGGGTTCAACGGGACGACGACGAGACCTTGGGGATACGTGGAATTGAAAGTCACCTTCGGAGAAGAGGAGACAGCTAGGGAAATCAACATCCGCTTCTTAGTCATTGAATGCCCATCCCTCTATAACTGCATCTTGGGCAGGACAACGATAGCAGAACTCACTGCGGTACCCTCTACCGTCCACCTGAAGATGAAATACTACACCAGACGGGGGGCCGTGGTGACCCTTAATGGAGACATCGAGGCCGCCCGAAGATGTTTCGAGGCCGCGCTGAAAGGCCTAGACTCCATCACTCCAGCGACCAAGAGGACAACTCCGAACATAACACCAAAAGGCGGATCAACGAAGCCAGTCGGAGTCGTGGAACTCGACAGTCGCTTCACCGACGAGCTCGACCACGAAACAAAGACCAGCGAAGTTAACGGGCAGCCCTCACACCCAGCACGCCCCGTCCCGGACGGAGAATTCGAACTCATCCCTCTGGGGGAAGACACGAGCAGAACCGTGAGAATAGGTGCCGGACTCCCAGACCTCGCGAAACGACAGCTCCAAACCTGCCTCCGCGAGAACGCCGACCTCTTCGCCTGGAGCGCCGCAGAAATGCCCGGACTCGACCCCGAGGTCGCTTGCCACCAGCTGTCCGTCAACCCGACCGTGAAGGCCATTGTACAACGCCGGCGTCGCCAGTCCCCCAAAAAATCGGCTGCAGCCGAAAAAGCTGTAAAAGACCTCCTAGAGGCAAAATTTATTTCGGAAGCCCGGTATTCAACCTGGCTGTCCAATGTTGTACTCGTTAAAAAGAATAATGGAAAATGGCGCATGTGTGTTGACTATACTGATCTCAATCGGGCATGTCCTAAGGACGCCTACCCCCTCCCCAACATCGACAAACTCGTCGACAACTCCGCGGGCTTCAAGCTCTTGTCCTTCATGGACCACGACTCGGGATACAATCAGATCCCGATGGCCGAACATGATAAACAGGCCACGGCCTTCATGATGGCATCGGGCAACTACTATTATAACGTGATGCCCTTCGGCCTCAAAAACGCCGGGGCCACATACCAGCGGATGATGAACCGGGTCTTCCACGACGAAATCGGAGACATGCTCGAAGTATACATGGACGACATGATCGTCAAATCTGGCACGGAGGACGACCACACGGCACACCTTCGGAAGGTCTTCGAGACCGCAAGGTCGTGCCGCATGCGCTTCAACCCGGAGAAGTGCACCTTCGGCGTCTGCGCCGGTAAATTCCTCGGCTACTACTTGACCGAACGGGGGATCGAAGCCAATCCGGACAAATGCCACGCCTTCTCCAATATCTCCATGCCCACCACGAAGAAGGCCATCTAATCCCTCAACGGCGTGCTCGCCTCCCTGTCACGGTTCATTGCCAAGTCGGCCCAGCACGCCCTCCCATTCTTCAAACTGCTCAGGAAGGAGACCAAGTTCGAATGGACGGACGAATGCGAGAAAGCCCTTTGCCACCTCAAACGCGTCTTATCTGAACCACCAGTGCTGACGCGTCCCGTGACGGGCGAAACCCTATACTTATATCTGGCCGTGGCCAACAAAGTCGTCAGCGCCGTCCTCGTCAGCGAATCCGGGGAGGGCCAACGGCCCATATACTTTACTAG